GTGCTTAGGGAGCGCCGCACTGTTGAAGGGTCAGTGCTGAGGGAGTGTCGCACTGTCGGAGGGTCAATGCTGAGGGAGCGCCGCACTGTCGGAGGCTCAATGCTGAGGGAGTGCTGCAATGTCGGAGGGTCAATGCTGAGGGAGTGCCGCACTGTTGGAGGGTCAGTGCTGAGGGAGTGTCGCACTGTCGGAGGGTCAGTGCTGAGGGAGTGTTGCACTGTTGGAGGGTCAGTGCTGAGGGAGTGGGCACTGTCGGAGGGTCAGTGCTGAGGGAGTGCCGCACTGTCAGAGAGTCAGTGCTGAGGGAGCGCTGCACTGTCGGAGGGTCAATGCTGAGGGAGTGCTGCAGTGTCGGAGGGTCAGTGCTGAGGGAGCGCCGCACTGTCGGAGGGTCAATGCTGAGGGAGTGCTGCAGTGTCGGAGGGTCAGTGCTGAGGGAGTGTCGCACTGTCGGAGGGTCAGTGCTGAGGGAGCGCCGCACTGTCGGAGGGCATGGCAAATGGTAGAATTTGAATTCAGTAACAATCTGGAATTAAGAGTCTAATGATGACCATGAATCTGTTGTCAATTGTTGGAAAAGCCCATCTGGTTCACCAATGTCCTTTTGGGCAGGGAACTGCCATTTCCAGACTCACAGCAATGTGGTTGACAAGGAGCAATAAATGCTTAGCCTGGCCACCAAAGGCCTCATCCTGTGAATGAATAAAAAATAATTCCTCTCTGGTGGCCAGAGTGGTATGTAGTTAACTCCCTGCTCCATTACCCTCTAACCCACCCCATTCCAGCCCCCAGTCTAACGGTACCAGCTTTAAGAATGTATTGGATGGTTTGGAGTTGCAAGACTTTCAGAGGTAGTGACCTTCAGCTGGAGCTGGAGCACTGACCTGGGGCTCCATCCAGCTTCATGTCTCAGTGTTCGTGCACTGTGGGCTGTGGGTCATGCTGATGAGGCCGCTTTGGACACCGTAAGATGCTGAGTTGAACGATTGGAGTCAGGGTAAAGATTGGAGGCTCAGTCAGTGCTGCATTATGTTGGTTCTTGCATGAGATGTGGGTATCACTGGCAAGATCAGGCTTTGTTTCCCATCCCTAATTGCCCAGAGGACAGTTGAGAGACAACCACATTGCTTTGGGTCTAGAGTCCGATGTAGGGCAGACCAGATAAGGATGGCAGTTTCCTTCCCTAAAGGGCATGGAAAACTGGAGTAGGAATAGGCTATTTGGCTGTTTGAGCTTGCTCCCCCATTCAATCTGATCATGGCTGATCATCCAACTCAGTCCTCTCTTCCTGCTTTCTCCCCCATATCCCTTTAATCCCTTTAGCACTAAGAACTGTATCTAACTCCTTGAGAACATTCAATGTTTTGGCCTCAGCTGCTTTCTGTGGTGTTAGTGAATCAGACATGTTTTTATGTCAGTTGTTATTTGGTTGTGATTAGGCTAGTTTTTAAATTATGAATTCAAATTTCACCATCTGCCGTGAGATTCAAACTGATGCCTAGGGAGAATTAGCCTGGGCCTCTGAAATCCTGGTCCACCACTTTCCTTGCAGCATTGCATCTATCACAGAGCAATGGTTTACATTTGGACCGGCAGGTCTTTATTTTGTATGATTCTCCGGAGTTTGGCCAGAGTGGCCAGTTTTTGTGACATTGTAAGTTTGTGAAAAAGCTGTCTGCCTGGGTTTAAAGACTGACTTTTTATTTTGCCTCAGTTCATGGACCGATTGAAGTTGGTACTGATGCCAACCAAACACCAGCCAGACTTCATTTACCTGCGCCATGTGCCCCTGCGCAGAATTCACCTCTTCACCTTCATCCAGGTGCTCTGTCTTGCTCTGCTCTGGATCCTCAAATCAACTGTGGCAGCCATCATTTTCCCAGTCATGGTAAGGTATCCCATGTTCCCTCCCTCCCTATCTCCTCACTCCCCGTCCCTTCCTCCTCTAATACTCCATCCTCACCTCCTTCATCCCTCTGAACTCAACATCCCAACCTTGGATCCTCATTACTCTCTGCTTTTGCTCTCTACCTCCTTCACTATCCCTCCCCTTCAATCCCTCCTTTTCCTTCCTGGGGCAGGGCAGAGGTATGAATGTTTGTACTGTGAGGTCCTGGAGGACAAACCAGGGTCCCACATGGTTCATATAATCCATATGGAATTGGATTTTATACAGCCTGCCCTTGGTGGAGGTAAATATTGATTTTCCATATCCCACAAGGCTCCATTAGCATTTCTCTTTGTTAGACAGACAAGTGGCAATGCAGCTTGAGGGCCATCACTCTACAGAAATGGTGGGGTGAGAAGGGAGGTCAGATATTGGACCCACACTGTTGGCACCATTCTGCACCAGACCAATTCACACCTCCTTAGAGTCATGAGCGCAAAGAATAAAACAGAGTAGACCTACCCCTGGACCAAGAGGCCCAGGTTCAAGCCCCACTTCCTCCAGAAGCATGTAATTAGAACATAGAAACCAAGAGAGCTACATTCTGGGCTGCATTGCCCCTGTCAGGCCCTGAACATCCTTTGGTTAATTGGAAACATGGGTGATTTAGTGGAGGCAGATAATAGATGAACATTATATAATTCTTTGAAATTTGCTTCACAGGTAGAGAAGGCATTTAGCACGCTTGCCTTCACCGCTCAGACCTTTGAGTATAGGAGTTGGGACGTCATGTTGAGGTTGTACAGGACATTAGTGAGGCCTCTTCTGGAATACTGCATGTATTTCTGGCCGCCCTGTTAATGGAAGGATATTATTAAATTGGAGAGGTATCAGAAAATATTTACCAGGATGTTGCCAGGAAGGGAGGGTTTGAGATATAAAAATAGACTGGATATGCTGGGACTTTTTTCACTGGAGCGTAGGAGGCTGAGGGGAGACCTTATAGAGGTTTATAAAATCATGAGGGGTATAGATAAGGTCAAAAGCAAGGGTCACTTTCCCCAGGGTGGGGCCTTATTGTTAAGGTGAGAGGAGAAAGTTTTTAAAAGGACATGAGGGAAAACTTTTTTACACAGACAGTGGTTTATATGTGGAATGAACTGCCAGAGAACTTGGTGGGTTTGAGTACAGTTACAACCTTTAAAAGACATTTGGATAAGTTCATGAATAGGAAAGATTTGGAGGGATATGGGCCAAATGCAGGCAGGTGGGACTAGTTTAATTTGGGATTGTGGTCAGAATGGATTTGTTGGACCGAAGGGTCTGTTTCCATGCTGTATGACTCTATGACCCTATTACCATGGTGTAGCAGTGACAGATAATAGATGAATATTACCACGGGTGATTTGGTGGTAGAAAAAAGCCATTCAGTTGCGTGCAACAGAACACAGAGAAAAAAAGGACTGTGTTCTCTAGGGCTCTTGTAGATCCCTACCTTCAAGCCAGACTGTTTGGGTTCAAGGTCCACCTGCTCCATAAGTTGTTTCATAACATCTCTGAACAGGTTCATTAAAAAAAAATGTTAAATTTTTAAAAAATTTAAAAACAAAAGGGTAGACACAAAAGCATCATCTTAAAAACCCAGAATAGTGTGACAGAGAAAGAAATCATCTCAAATACTTCTCTCTGTTGTTACCAAAGCTGTAAAGCTGCCTCTGGAGGACCAGCAATAGGGTGGCAATAGGGAATATCTTTCAATTCTTATTCATCTTCTTGCCTCTGAAGAAAATGTGCCCAAAACCCCTCTGAGAGAATCGATCCATGAAAATCAAATGCACTTGGCTGGTAGTCTTGTTGAATAAAGAGTTATTTAATGGTGTCAGTTGCTTAAGTTATGGGAAAAGGGTTACCGCTAAAACAAACAGGAGATTGAACAGCTTTTGCAAAACATAAAAAGCTCACTTAGTAAACAGTTGATGGAGAAACTCATTGGGGATTTTTAAGTTGGAAATTTGAGTCAATCAAGATATTGTCATAGGAAAAGAAAAGACATTAAAATAAAACTTAGAACTTTGAATAGCTCAAGGTCTGGTGTTTGGACATCTTTCCTCTAACATGGATGGAGATAATTGTTAGCAAAGGATTCCTTTAAACATAGGGTGCTGCAAGAAGATTGAGGGGTGACCTGATAGAGCTCGTTAAAGTTACCATGAGGTTTGATAAGGAAGAGAGAACACGTAGAGATATTTTCACCAGCGGGAGACACTGAAACAAAGAAGGATCATGAATATTAGGCAGTTACCCCATAAGAGATTCAGGTGAAGATTTGTTACCCAGAGACCGGTGGGAGCGTGGAATGATCGACATTCCGTTGAAATGGCCTGAACCAGGAAATTCACTGTTAAACCTCATACTCCCCTCTGCTTGCTGAGCTCTGTTGGTTCCCGGTTCTGTAACACTTCAATTTTAAGACGCTCGTCTCTGTTGCAAATTTTTCAGTAGCCTTCCCCCCATGAACTCCATTCCACTGTAACCTTCTCCATCCCTAAAACTTTTGAGGGTCTCAACATCCCTCTAATTCTAGCCTCTTGGGCTTTCTTGATTATTTCTGCTGCTGAAAGGTGGGCGAAGGTAACTTTTTTTTACCCTGATCTTCCTCCAAATCTGTTTGTCTGTAAGCAATATACCTCAAGAATTAAGGGACAGATTTTAACAAAACTTGGGTATGGTCCAGGGAAGAACTGATTAGCGTTGGAAAGAGGAAGTTGAAACCCTTTTATAATTAAAATTGAAACACAAGCCCCCAAACTGTTATGGCGGGAGTAGGGATCCCCTTCTATTAATTAAACCCGAAACAGCCAGAGAAACTTGCATCACCTCACCTAATCTGTTAAAAAGGAGTGGCTTAATGAAAGAAAATCCCTCATATTCACTTCATAAGCAACAAGTAACAATTGATTTATTTCACCTTAACGGTGAACAAATTAACAGAACTACTAACAAATCGAACAATTCCCCCTTAACTACTAACTATTCCCTAACTGAACAAAATTCTGCTGGTATGCTGTTCCAATAAACAAGTCCCACTTATAAAAACCCAAGTAATAGTAAAAATAAATTAAAACTTAGACTCTCAAAGTCCATGATGGGTGTGTCTTTTGGAATCTTCTGCCTTCCTCACTGTCTCTCCAGTCATAAATGCCTTTTTTCCAATCATCCTACTGTCAGGGATGTTTTCTCTGTGAATTCTTCTGTAAAGACTTTTAGCTACAAGTGCCGTGGTACCTTTTGTGGATAGATGGTGCTTTCTCCGAGAGCTTAGAGGTTTCCGTGGTAGCTAGATGTTTATTCCTCAGGTGGAGGTTTGCTTGGCCCCGATTTTCAAAAACCTTCTTCTCATATACCTTGTGTGACATATCAACTTCCTTACAATAGCATCGGCAAAACCATCAGGTTTCGATTAAATTGGTTTCCAATCTCTAAGTGCTTGGTTTAAATTAATTGTCTGATCTTCAAGCTAGATACCAAAACATCAAAACAAGCCTAAGGTTACCAATCACACTGATAACTGATACATGTTTCCATTTCAGAACTGTCTGTACATCTTTAGCTGCTTACAGACACATTTTCATTTAAATCTCCAAACTTAGAAAAACACATCAACTCTTAAAGGGACTATGCGTTCTTCCCCCCTATCATTTTTACAGACAAATTCTAACTTCTGGCCTTCCAATTCACAAGTACTGTACACAACTTTCCTCCAGCAAAGGTACAGATGTGGATACTGAAACTTTATATTAGATCACTTCATTTGTATTAGGAGCTAAGGTGAATTGACTTTTCCGTTTAGGATGTGGTGAGCTGCGATGGTGGAATTTGTCACAACTGTCAAAAGTGTGCAAGAAGTTTTTAGAGCAGATTGTTGGATTAGAAGGGCCTGAAGTCTCTTAAGTGAAGTGGAATCTCTTAATAAATTTTTTTTCAGCTTTGTAGTTACAGAACATCAACAAGGCTGGGAAGATCCTCAAGGAAGAGCTCTGTTAGCACAGTGTGGTAGAGCTATGCTCTCTACTTAGCATCCCCTTCACTTATAACTGTTTCACCAGTGAAAGCTGTCCCTTCAGCTGCTTTGATCACAAGCTCTGGAGTTCCCTCCCCAAACCTCTCCACTTCCCTCTGCTCATTTAAGATGCTGTTTAAATCTGCCTCTGTTGGTCACTTGGCCTAATATGCTCTTAAAAGGCGAGGCATCAAATTTTGTCTGACAGCCCCACCATGAAGTGCCTGGGACATGACGTCACACTAAAGGTGCTATATTACTGCAAGTTTTCTGTTGCCATCGCTGTGATTATGTGAGTCTTTGAGGGCCAGAATCTTATCATCCAGGAGTTTGCAGACTTGAAACTGGACTGAGCCCGAGAGTGAGATATTTAGGGAATTCCCATTGCAGGCTGCAGCTTCAGGTAATGCCTTGGGATTTGAGAATGTTACCCTGGATTCTCTTCACAGATCCTAGCACTTGTCGCCGTTCGAAAAGCTATGGACTACATCTTCTCCCAGCATGACCTCAGTTTCCTGGATGATGTAATTCCAGAAAAGGACAAGAAAAAGAAGGAGGATGACAAGAAGAAGAAAAAGAAGCAGAGTATGGACAGCGATAACGAAGATGTAAGTGATATTTTAGCAGCACACTGATACTTATTGAAGTCCCTTAGAAAGGGAGCTTAACTTAAACCACTTTCAGATAGCCAATAACTGGATGTTAATCTGTTTCTCATTGTCTAATCTGATTGAAATGTTCAGTTAAGCATTTAAAGCAGGAATGCAGCAATCATCCTACATTATCCTGGATGGTTGGAATGTGCAGCTCAGGAAGAGGCCATTCCACCCATCAGACCTGCGCTGGCCTTTTAAAAGAGCTATCTAATTTGTCCCCATACCCCACTCCTTCTCTGTAGCCCTGCAATTTTGTTTTCAGTACTAAGCAGTTTCTGTGTGAAAGTCATTACTGAATCTCCTTCCACCACCCTTGCAGACAACGTATTCCAGATCTCAACAGCTTTCTGTGGAAATAAACAGTTTCCTCATCTGCCCCTTTTGCCGATTCCCCAGGTTACTGCTGGAATATCGTCTCATTTATCCTTCACCACCAAAGTCACATGGGAAATCTAGCAATTCAGCACAATTCTCTTTTAAAAACCAGGAACCAGTCTCCGAATGGATTCAGCATAATGAGGATTAACTGATCTGCAGCCTTTAACTCACACTGTCTGTGATGTTTCTGTACACTAAAGGCACCGTATAAATGTATAAAAGCAAAATACTGCAGATTCTGGAAATCTGAAATAAAAACAGTCGGTGCTGGAGAAACTCAGCAGGTCTGGCAGCAGCAATGGGGACAGAAACAGAGTTAGAGTCTGTATGAACTGAAGCAAGGTAGAAATGTGATCAGTCTTATGTTATTGAAAGGTGGGGGGAGTGAAAGGGAATTATTCTGGCTTGGCTCTCACTCTAATTCAATGCTTTGTTTCTTCGCTCAAGGAAGCTACATCACATCTCACTTCCCAAGTACTAACAGTGTCTGAGAACTGGACCCTTTTCTAATCTTTCAATTTGATTGAATCTCATCTAATCAATGTTAGTTGAGTAAAATTTAACAAGAAATGACTTGGTTGAATAATTCCATTAACACTGCATTGGTGTGGTTACAGGTTACTCACTGTACTGCTTTATACATTGCTCTCCCAACTCTCCATGTGACCCCTGACCCCACCCAACCTGGGCTTGACCTGAACAGTCCAATCCAAACTCCAGAAAGACCACAACACTGGCATAGCCACACTCTCCCATGGGTATCGGCTACGAGGTAGTGTACCTGCCCTTTGAGGTAGTGTACCTGCCGTACTGTTACTACTTCCTCTGCCTTTTGTTCAGTGAGATTGAAGCTTTCCTGCTGTGTATCCCATCGAAGACCCTGCCTTTGGCTCTTTGTTCCCCTCCCCGCTGCCCCCAGCTTCAATGACAGTTCACTCTTCACCACAGATGCTGCCCGAGCTCTGAGCATTTGCAGCAGCCCCCAGTTTTGTATCACACATCGACCTTCCTTCAGTCCTGGGGAAGAGTCATACTTGACCTGAAACATCTTTACTCCACCAATGCTGCCAGACCTGCTAATATAAATGTAGATTGTTACTGTTTTATTACGGCGATGTTGATTCTAGTTTCCTTTCAGCAATTTCAGGTACTGGGCTCGCAGAAGGATGAAAGTTGGAATTTGTGTTTTTCTGTCCTTCAGTCCAGTATAGAACTAAAGTAACTTTGTTCAAGAATCTGAGGAAGGTAGTATTCAGAGGAGGCCATTCAGCCCTTCATGCCTGTTCCACTGTTTAGTTAGTTTCTAGCTGATCTGCATCTTAATTCCATCTACCCATCTCAGTTCCATGACACTTAACCACCTCACTCAATAAAAATTTATCAAATGTTTTTCCAGCTCTCTCAACTGCTCCCCAGTCCCCACAGTGGAGGGAGGGAGCACCTAGTGAGGGAGTTCCAGATTTCCACTCCCCTTTGTACAAAAAAATTTGTGTTTCCTGACATCACCCTGAATGGCCTGGTTTTTATGTTAGGGTTTTGTCCCCTTGTTTGGGACAGCCCCTCCCCAATAATTACTTCAAGAGCATATGTTACTCCCGCGACAATAATGCAGTGACTTGGTGAAGAGTTCGTAAATGTGAGGCGCACTGTTTGTTTAGGAATGAAAGTCTAAGCCTCTCTGTGATATGCATGTCTCAATCTGGGCTCTCGATTAGCAGCAGCTGAGATCCCATCAGGAAACTTGTCTTTGATTTGGAATTTGCTGCCTATGGACCAGGAGCCCATTGCCGGGTGTCCTTTGTTGTATCGGTGCCTGGCTACAAGGGGAATGGAAGATTTGGTATTTGTGGTATGCAGTGCTAAACGGAATTTGTTCCATAATGCAATAAAAGCAAACTCACAAATACGAAACAATAGACTACAGATGCAGGGCATCTGAGATTAAAACAGAAAATGATGGAAATACCCAACAGGTCAGGCAGTGTCCACAGGAGGAATGCAGCGGTTCAAGAAGGCAGCTCACCACCACCTTCTCAAGGGCAACTAGGGATGGGTAATAAATACTGGGCCCAGCCAACGATGCCCACGTCCCACAAATGAATAGGAAAAAAAGAGAAACAGGGCTAATGCTTCAGGTCGATGACCTTTCATCAGAGTTAATAAACACATCCTGTTTCAGGAACAGAGTGAGGCAAATGTAATCCCCTGACTAGTGCGTACACTGCCTGCTTCATGTTCCTTCCTGAGCTATGGGGGAAGCATTAATAAAGCACAAAGACTTGCAGCTTGTCCTAATGATGTAGAAGTCAGGACAAGAGCATTGTCACCATGACCTTTTGAAACATGAATGCTTTCACCTTTGAACTGTGTAATTCTATGATGGCCCCTGTTCTGCATTGAGGCTTATCCTGACCAAACGCATCTTACATCACATGGTTTCTAACCATCCTGCCCACATAGCCCTGCTATTGGTCACTTCGAATGTCCATCATTGTTGTGACCAATCCCACCCCTCCTTCCCACGACCAATTGAAAAGCAAAGTTTCTTTGTTTCCCAGGTTGGTTGGTTTTCATTGTCATTTTCCCTCATCTGTGATACCCTCGCAACGAATAAGGAATAAGAAAAAAAAAACACAAATAGTTTTTAGTTTGAAAGCCCCGGTGACTTTTCCTCCAGGTTTTGCTGTGTTTTGATCCTGAATCCCTGGGGACTACAGGGTTGGCAGTACCACGGAGAATGCTATGGATGCATTTCCTCGTTCTAGTTACCGGGGAGAGAATTTAAACAACAGCCAGGTTAACTCTCCCTCTGCATTTTCCCTTCCCTCTTGTTTGAGCAATGGCTGGGCTATTCTCCCAAACTGGCAATACGGTGAATGCAGACTTCACCACTTCAAGAAGGGGCCCCTCACCACCCTCTGAAGGAGCACTGAGGAAGGGCAACAAGTAACAGCCTCAAGGGTGACACTCCACGAATGAAAAGAAACTCAGACACTCGCTGTGACAAACTCGTTACCAGACCATTGGTAAATGGTTGTTATCAATCATGCAGGTAACAGGAAGGCAAAAATTGCAACTTTGTCTCCCAGCCATCAGCAGATTGGCCCAGGATTTAGTCACTTGGAAGTAAGGGCAGCATGGTGGCTCAGTGGTTAGCACTGCTGCCTCACAGCGCCAGGGACCCGGGTTCAATTCCGTTCTCGGTGACTGTCTGTGTGGAGTTTGCACATTCTCCCCGTGTCTGTGCGGGTTTCCTCCGGGTGCTCTGGTTTCCTCCCACAGTCCAAAGATGTGCAGGTTAGGGTGGATTGGCCATTCTAAATTACCCCATAGTGTGCAGGCTGGGTGGGTTAGCTATGGGAAAATGCAGGGTTACCGGGATAGGGTAGGGAGGGATGCTGTTCAGAGGGTCAGTGTGGACTCGATGAGCCGAACTGTAGGGATTCTATGGAGGCTGGTTGCAGGGTCTGAGATCTTTCCCTCTCAAAGAGATTATATTGTGGAGCGTGGCATATCACACCAGTTTATATCCTCACATTACAGGTGCCAAAAACCCAGTTACTATGAATTGTAAAAGCTGTGTAGTGTTTAACTGTTAGTGAAATTTGCTGCCGTGAGATAATAGATGCTGTTTTCTATGTGCTGTGCATTGCTGCTACCTTGTTTAACATGTCTTCTGAAATGTTTTACAGTTTTGAGTCACGTTTCTGCTCTTTCTTTGCAAAGCAGCCCATGGGATTGTTTGTTTCACTGTGATCTAGCTGGCCTCTGATGCTGCCCCATGTCATCAGTCATACGTGTAGTCTCCATGTAATCCTCAGTACCATGTAACTGCGCTGATGCCACAAAATTGTGCCACGCTTCTTCTTATCGGCTTCTGCAAATCAATCGATGTATTCCTTTGGTTTTTATCGTCTCATTCTCAGCCCAGTGAGATTTCTTACTAAAGAAGCAACTAACAACATGATATTTTTCAGCTGTTTCTTGTTCCATTTTGAAAACAATCCTAAAAGCGCTGAGGAAAGAGTAGGTTTTGGGATGGCACTTATTGCTTCACAGACAGGTCAAACAGACTGTTCGTGCAGTGACTAACAAACAAAGACAGTTGTTTAACTGACAGATTCGAATCCTCACTGGCCACTTATCAGTGAAAGACTCTGGCACTCATTTAAGAAAAATAATGCATTTAATTTGGAGAATAATTTACTACATTCAAGGCTTTTTGCTGGTCTCTCAAATTCATTTTCTACACAAGACAGATTAAGCCCCTCATCATTCTTTAGTGACCAGTAATGTGTTAATTCACAGTCAGTTATTTTTGGTATTTTCCAGCTTGCAGTTTAGTGTGTTTAAGCATTGTGCACATTTCCTTCGCAGTTTGATTACCCATATTCAGAAAAAGTTCCTGCTATTAATATTTCAATGGATATGATGGAACAAGAACCCTTCCTAAGCAGTGAGTAATATCTTCTGCCTGCCTGACTTCATTTATTTCAGTGAGAAATGTCGTCATCTTTATCCTTATCCTTTCGTTATTCTGACCCACATCAAATGGTGCCTCTGGCTGTCTGTCCATCCAGTTTTCACTCGCACTCTCTCTTTCCTTCCCCTTTTGTGCCTCATTCTAACTGTTGCAGCCCTGGACTGATCCAACAGTCATCAACTAGCTATGCTTCAGTGGAAACTTTAACCAAATTCTAACCAGCTCCTTTTGTCTCTCTCTGCTGTCGTTCACTTTGTGTTTCAGGTCAGTGAATTCCTTTAATCTGTTCACACGCTCTTTCTCCTAATCACAACACAGAATGATTTTATTATAATACAGAGCTCACACCTTGACCTTGCAGAACGGTCAATGTGGGAGTGCAAGTGGTTTTTACAGCAATTGTTCTTGACTGCCTGCTAAAGTGCATGGGGAGTGATCTGTCGCTTTCTGAAACTGCTTTGTAAATCTGCTCCTCAGGCTGCAGCCTCCCCACACAGTAGGAGCATGGTGTTCTGCCCAAATGTTCTGTGAAGACTATGAATAAAAGGAAAATTCTGTGGATGCTGGAGACCTGTTAAAAACAGGAATTGCTGGAGAAACTCTGAGAGAAACTGAGTTAACGTTTTGAGGCCAGTGACCTCGCAGAAGTTCTAAGATAAAAGTCATGTTGGACATGAAAAGTTAATTCTTTGCCTGTCCGTACATAGTTGGGAAAACTGCTTTAGCACTTTCTGCAGGAAATCCCTGGGCTGGGTATTCACATAAAATATGGTAGTCCCCAGTCCCACCAAGCTCTCCACATCCTGGCCATCATTTTCTGCAGAAGTCAAATTCATGTTTGCATCCAGATGGGAACATTGTAGGATTCTTGGCCTTTTGAGCCTGTTCCACCATTCAGTGTGCTGATTCTTTGTGTCAAATCCCAATTTCAATGAGATTCTCTCTCATTCTTTTAAATCCCAGTGAATACAGGCCCCATCAACCCAATCTCTCCTCATACAAAAAACCTGCCATCCCAGGAATCAGTCTGGTGAACCTTCTCTGCACTCCCTCTATGACAAGTACATCTCTTTTTAGATAAGGACACAGTACCCCAGGTGTAGTCTCACCAAGACCCTGTACAGCTGCAGTAAGACTTCCTTGGTCCTGAGCTCAAACCCTCTTGCAATGATAACCAATATAGCAGTCACCTCCTGTCTGCTTGCTGTACCCTGCTTGCCTCAGTCCCTGGTATCCAGGGACATTCAGGTTTCTTGGTACATCAATATTTCCCAATCTGTCTCCATTTCAGCCATTATGTTTTTCCCATCAAACTTCTCATTTATCCTTATCCTGCATCTACCACACATATGCCCACTCACTCACCCACCTGAGAGTCTAAATCACCTGAATCCTCACCAGTCCCAATCCCATTTAGATTTGTGTTGTCAGAAATTTTGGAAGTATTACTTTTGACACCCTCATCCATTTTGTTGATCTACGTTGTGAGTAGCTGGGGCCGAAGCACTGATCCTTGTGGTACCTCATTCATCAGCACATTCCACTCTGAAAAAGGCCATTTATTCCTAACCTCTGTTTCCCGTCTGCTAACCAATTCTCAATCCATGCCCCCAATGGTATTAACCCCAAAACCCCAATGTGCTGTCATTTTGCCCACGAACCTCTGACGTGGGGCTTTATTAGGACCTCTGAACTCAAGGTCAGAGGGATCTCCTCACTGACGATCAGATCTAGGCCGTTAATGTTGACCTTGCTTGGTGGGTGAGAGTATTTGGCCACAGTTTTAATCTCATTCCCATTGACTGTAATTCATCCCATTTTATCTTCACTGAAGTGAAAAATTGTTCCTGTTGGTTGGTGTGTGACATCACAGCACATGCAGGGAGAGCCCACTGGCACGCAGACATCACGTTAATGGTGACAATCAGATAAGTAATCGCTCAACAGGGTTAGTTTATTCAAAACAGTACAACACATTACAAGTTATGAAGCAGACATTACCAGCAAGCTAACTGACTCCTGTGAGTGTGTGGTTTGCAGACTAACTGTCAGGCAGAGTCACAACAGTGCATACCCACAGTACATGGAGTACTTAGCAGTGAACTCTCTTACATAGAAACATAGAAAATAGGAGCAGGAGGAGGCCATTTGGCCCTTCAAGCCTGCTCCACCATTTTTAATATGATCATGGCTGAGCTTTGAGCTCAATACCCTAATCCCACCTTCCCTATATCCCTTGATCCCTTTAGCCACAAGAGCTGTATCTACTTACTTCTTGAAAACACAATGTTTTGTAACACTCTCTGTGACAGTGAATTCCACTTGCTTCACACTCTCTGGGTGAAGAAATTTCTCCTCATCTCAGTCCTAAATGGCCTTCCCGTTTGCTTAGACTGCGATCCCCGGTTCTAGATTTGCCCGGTCATTGGGAACATCCTTCCTATGTCTATCTTTTCTAGTACTGTTAGACTACCCTGTCCAGTCCTCTTAAAGACAAGATGCATGTATGACAGAAAGCAGCCCTCCCAGCTGGTGTTTGGTATCACAGCAAAGACAGAGGTGCTGTTAACTCAATGATGATGTCTCCCAACCCTTGTGGTAGGTAGGGTTTCGAATGTGAAATAAAAATCACTTTATTCACTTCTTCACTGTAATGTCAGGCAATGCCCACCCACATTCCAGTGCATCTCCAGCATCTGTTCACCACTGACTTATAATCTTGCCCCAATTGGAGCTTGGTTATGGCTTCAGTTTTAATAGCCCCATCAATCTGACTGGGTCACTATGGGCTGGTAGGTGGAAACATACCCAAGCCAGCCACTGCCAAACTGCATGGTCGAAATTTTAGGAATGTTCAGCTTATGGTTTTCCCAGAATTTAAAGGCCTACAGTGTGTGGAGGATCCCATAACATTTGCAGCACGTAGAAGATCCCAACAGGTAGGCGATCTACCGATTTCAAATCAATTAAGCTTGAAGCCCTGGTGTCTTCATTGCAAATTCTAAGCACAATCAGTGGAATTATTGTCTATGCATTTCAACCTGCCTGCTCCACACCTTCAGAATACACATGCATTACCGGGGAATGATTTGTTTGATTGTTGACGGGTTGGCGATTCTCGTTGGTTTGTGTGTGGTCTTTGCTTTCATCGTAAACAACAGGTTTGTTTGGTGCCATGTCTCCAACTCCATTTCAAAGAGTTGGAGCTCCATTCAGTCCGAGCTGGCCGCTCTGGTTTATGTCAATACTGTAGCTCTGTGCCAAGGCTGAGAATCAGATATCATCATTCACCCCAGTCTATCCCAATCCCATCCTTCCACCTCAATCCAAATTGTAGTGCAAAGTCTGCCATTTGGAAGTGTGGAGGACCCCCTGGTCCTGATGTGGGGACATGTGCTAACAGTGGACACTGAACTCAGCCTTAGATGGTGTGCAGTAAGTTAGCAGGCTTGGGAAATGAGGGTTTCACACTTTAAGTAACAGAAAGAGTTTGAAAAGCCAGGCTGACTCGGACATTAATGTCACTTGCAAACAGCCCTCACAGAGTGAGGAGAAAGCTCTGATCCTCATCACATCTCCATTGGGACAGATTCTAAACGATGGGGGTCACAGAACTCGGGGAAGAAGGTCACAGGAGGGACACCCATTGTTCATCAGTGCAGACGGAGGCCATTCATTCCTTCGTGCCTGTGCTCGCTCCTTGACAGCATTTTCTGTTTAGTCCCACTTCTCAATGCCCTTTCCCCAGGGCCCTAATCATTTTGTCGTCTTCAGGTATTTATCCAGTTCCCTTCAGAAAATTCCAACGCAATCTGCTTCCCAATGGCCTTTCAGGAAGCACATTCTAGATCACAACAACTCACTGCCAGAAAGAAATGCTCCTCATCTTCCCTGTTGTTGGTTTGCCAATGATCTTTAATCTCTGTCCTCCAGATACTCAACCTCTTTCCAGTGGAAACAATTTCTCTGAAATTGGTTATATCTAAACCCTTCCTGTTTGATATTGCATCTCCCCCTTAACAGTCTCTGATCAAACCAGAACAACTACAAATGCTCCCACCTCTCCAAATTACTGGAATTCCTCGTCCCTGGTATCTTCCTGGTAAATCGCCTCCACACTGTCTCCATCAACTGAGATGGTCCCTTCCCTCAGTGTATGAGACTGCCTGTGTGTCTCTGTGTCTGTGTGTTTGTGTTTGTCTGTGTGTCTGTCTGTCTGTCTGTGTGCGTATGTGTGTATGTGAATCTGTGTGTGTGTGTGTGTGTCTGTGTATGTCTGTGTGTGTGTGTGTGTGTGTGTGTGTGTGTGTCTGCATCTGTCTGTGTGTGTGTCTGTGTATGTCTGTGTGTGTATGTCGCTGTGTGTGCGTGTGTGTGTATGTCTGTGTGTGTGTGTGTGAGAATCTGTGTATGTGTCTGTGTTGTGTGTGTATGTCTGTGTGAGTCTGTGTGTGTGTGTGTGCGTGAATCTATGTGTGTGTGAGTCTGTGTGTGTGTGTCTGTGTGTGTGTGTCTGTGTCTGTATGTGTGTGTGTGTGTGTATCTGTGTGTGTGTGAGTCTGTGTGTGTGTGTGTGATTGTGTGTCTGTGTGTGTGTCTGTGTGTGTGTGTGTGAGAGTGTGTGTGCCTCTGTGTGTGTGTGTGTGTCTGTGTGTGTATGTGTGTGTGTGTGTCTGTGTGTGTGAGAGTGTGTGTGTGTGTGTGTGTGTGTGTGTCTGTGTGTCTGTGTGTGTGTCAGGGTTGGGGTTGTGAGATGGCAGCCAATGCCACCAATGAAAACCCCATGTGATTACCTGCCAATTGTGTCCCTCCAAGCTGCCAGGAACAGAGGGTGAGACCGTGTCCAGTCACTGCCTGCACATTCCGATCAGAGGCTATAGCCCAGGGCCTGCCCCTTGGGGGCACCGGCAAGACGGAGGTGATTTTTATCCCCTGTCCTGGGCTGCGTGGTGGGGGGGTTGTTTGTGGGGAGAGGGGACTCGGGGAGTTCAAAGGCACGGAGTGGAAGGTGGCTTTGAGAGGACACTGTCACCTGCCCCTCATGACCTGATCTCCCCCAGATTAAGACACCTCACCACACCACTCCCCCCCGGCACACACATGCACACACATGCACACAGACAGACACACCCACCCACACACACGCACACACATGCACACAGACAGACACCCACACACATGCACACACATACACCCACACACACGCACACAGACAGACACACACATGCACACAGACAGACACACACACAGACATGCACACACAGGCACACACACGTACACACATGCACACAGACGCACACACACACGCACACACACGTACACACACACACAGACACGCAGACACACACGCAGGCACACACACACGCACACACAGACACACACACACACACACGCACACATATACACAGACATGCAGGCGCACACACACACATACATGCAGACACACACATACACGCAGACACACATACACACAGACGCGCAGGCACACACACGCCCACATGGACAGACTTTTCCCATAAAGACTGTAAGTTGAGGAAGTTATTGCTGGACCCTCTCCTCCAGTATTTCATTACAAAGTTGGTGAGCAGGGTTGGCCCTGGTCTGCTCCTTTCAAGCCAATGCAATGGAGTTTTTCTCCAATGCTAACTTATCCTTCTCTTTCCCCTTCTCCCTATCGTCAGGAGTGGAAATTAACATCCATCCTTTCAAAAGTGTGGAGCGCAGACTCAGAATCCATTTGAGAAAGACAGGAACAGTGACTGGAGTAACACTAGCCATTTTTGGGTTTATATCCTGGTTGAATAATTGCAGCGTAAAGTGAGCCAGTGCCTAATGGAGTCTGTTTTCTTCACTCAGGAGAAAAGCCCCCGATGTTCCTTGAACGACATACTTCATGCTGATCCAATTTCTTTTCTTCAGCCAGTCACTATGCCAAGGTAAGGCCAGTGATCCTTCTCACTGCTTGGTACTGTGTCAGTGGGCACTGACTCTCTCCTGCGTTTGAACATCACTCACTGATGTTTCTGACAAAGTTAGGAACTGGTTGGGAGGTCCATGAGCAGATCAAAGCCGGCAAGTTCAACATGACTGTGCTTCAGAAGAAAGTCCACAGCTCTTCTGAGGAAGTCGTAATAGACTTGAAACATTAACTCTGTTTCTCTCTCCGCAGATGCTGCCAGACCTGCTGAATTTCTACAGCACTTACTATTTTTATTTCTTCTCTCCATCCAGCCTTTAAACCCCTTAACAACTTTGAAGAACTCTCTCTGGTTAAACTTCAGATTTTTCATTTCTAAAGAAAAGAGCCCTAGCCCCAAGAGTTGTTTTATTTTTTTATATCTCTCAGATCGAGTGCTCTCCTCTCCAACCTTGCAAGTGCCGCACTGTCCTTATTGTGAATCAGAGACCAGAATTGGTCACCTTGCTACAAGTCTACTTCAGCCAAGATTCTGTATCAATTCAACTCCTTTGTTTTTCAATTCTGTTGCTCCTTTTGGTGTCTTTCTTTAGATATTACTGAATGAAAAATTCTGTGAAATTATGCATGAAGTTTACTACCTCTGCGACAGCTTCCCAGAAGCCAGCAGTAGTTAATAACATTCAGGCTGCCAGTTAGGGAGTTGAATTTGTTATCTTAAATCTGGTTTGACCTCGGTCATCCACGGTTTCTGGGGGAATTAGGGAAGGTTGACTTATTCAAAAAAAATCTCTGGATTATGCAAGAAACAGAAGATAGGCTTACGACACAGATACCTGGAGTCAGGAATGATTACCTTCCCTCTCTGAAACACCAAGTTATCATTTGGGAAGGGAATGTGGATGTTTGGAACCAGCAATTTTCTTTGGCAGGAATGTTAAAGTGTGCTGCCAAGAAATGGGTGCGTTATATCAAAACTCCAATCAAAAGGTAGCTGTAGGTTTGACATATTAATACCCAATTTACCTTTCGTGTAGTATACAGTAAACAGTGACTGCATTCGAAGTGAGAGTTGATGTGATTACTGTATAAATCCATGACCTCGACCATCCAGAAGGACAGGGTCAGCAGGTTCATGGATAGTCAGGATGTTGAGTGTCTTGGAGGGGAACTTGCAGGGGATGGTGTTCCCATGTATCTGCTGCTCTTGTCCTTCTCAAGAGGTAGAGGTTGCGAGTTCTGGTGTGTTATTTCTAGGGAGAACATTCACAGGTTGAGAGAGTTACTATTAATACCTGCATATTTATATTTCTTTCCAGCCCTCCAACCATTCCAGCAAGAAACGTGCCTCAAATAAGAATAGAGCTTGATCCAGACTCTGACCCAGGCTCCACGTGGAGAGGCAGGGGGTCTGAAACAGCACTGTAACTCTCCCTACAACACAGGACATGTTCAGATCTGCCAATGCTTCGAGATGAATTTCTCCCGTCTTGGCAGCCACACCATGGAATCACGACTGGGTTACACCCCGGGGAGGGGGTTGGGGGTGGTGGTCACCACTTCCCTCCATCCCTTTCACGTCCCCCCACCCTGCCCCAATTCAGAGACCTTCTCCCGGGACTGGTTTCCAGCTTGAAGAACAAAAAAGAGTTGGGGGGGCAGGGGTGGGGTGGGAGTGTGGGGTGGTGGGTGAGGTGAGGTGAGGATGGGTGGGTTGGGAGGATGTGTGGGGGTGGGGTGGGGGCGGGGTGCTAATATGTTGATGGGGGGTGTGTGCACTTCCAAGGTATACTGTGACTGTGAGACACTGCGCACACCACACCCCATCGCCCACATAGCCCCAGCCCATCTATTTCTGCTTTACCTCACCTCCCCCCACCTCTCCACCTTCCCCTGTGACATGAGTTGATGGACCTGCTCTGCTCCTTTCGAGCCAATGTGAAGGACTAGTGCTCTTTTGGGTGACTTGCTGCAAATTGCTGACTATGCAAAGACTCTTTTTCCGATGACACTTTAACCCATCTAAATGGGATACGAGTGATTGCAGACACATTACAATCTCTTCAGGCCTGAATGCTCATATTGATGTTCTATTGCTTGCCACCTTTATTATAATTACTGTTAATGGGACACATTTTTCTTACAACAGCTGACCGTAGTCAGACATGGTTCTACCTCTTATTTTTAGAAGGCCAGAGACTCTGTACAAATTATTATTATTGTATACTGTGTGATTATTAACTTCAATCTGAAGGGCAAGAATTTGGGACTCTCTAGGATACTAAAGCACTTCAATTTATCTCATCTGCCCTTTCTGGAGTTTTTAAAAGGTTAAAATTATATTGTTATAAGTGATTGATATATTTGTCAGCAAGCAGTAATTTAAATAATGATTTTTTGTTTAGAAAACCTTTTCTTTTTTGTACAGTGTTTAGTCCCTTGCCACTCGAGTGGAATGTAGATTGAATTTGGTGATTTTTTATTTAACTTGTTCTAATCTGGGACCAATTTTCAAACATTTCCTTTGCTTTTGCCACCCAGGCTGCTTTGTGCTTTGTGAATGCTGCTCCTAAATGGTTCCCTAGCCTTGATCTCCGTTCTACCGTAATACTGACTGTCCAAACACCCCATCCCATTTCCCTCCTCCTCCTCGTATTCCCAGCGAGGCACAGAGCAGTCACCTTGGGTGGAGTGTGGAAGGGAAGGGGGGAGGCATTTTAGTGAATAGCCGTTAGCTTTAATGCAACTGAACCCTTTCTTTTCCCCTATTAAAGTTACTAACAAAGTCAATCCAATTCATCTCCAAACTAAGAAAAAACAAAGATCTGAAACAACAGCAGTAAGTGCTGGACAAACTCAGCAGGTCTGTGGAGAGAGAAACAGAGTTAGCGTTTTGAGTTCAGTGAAAAAGGGCCACTGGAGTTGAAATATCAGTTCTGTTTCTCTCTGCCAGACCCGATGAGTTTCTCTAGCATGATCGGTTAGTGTTTCTGATCCTTCCCAACAAAAGGTCTGCCTCTCCAGCCGGATGCTGTTTGCAACTTTGGTGCTGTTACCGGACATTGGGAATAACCCAGGTCTTCTGTGCACTCAGTTGCTACAAGATTTATACAAGGAACAGGAGGTGATTGAGTCCCTCAATTCTCTTCTAGCATTCAGCATGATCATGGCTGATCTGTACACCAGTTCCAATTATTCTGCCTTGATTCTGTAACCTTCAGTTCCCTCCCCTGAAAAAACAAATCTTATCAGTCTTAGTTTTGAGATTTTAATGTGACCATGGCCTCAGCTGGATGTTTTGGGGAGAATGTTCTTCTTGTCGTTGTGTGATTGGAACTCCCCCTTAATCGGGGGGAAACCACTTTTCTCCTATTGAACCCTTTAATCATTGGCTGCTGTCTCCTAGATCCCAATATGTAAAGGAGATGCTGAGGCATCCTTGTCAAGCATCTCCACATGAGCCAGATGATGGGGTGAGATTTTGGATCGAAAACATTGAGGTGATTGGGACCAGGAGTATCTTATTCGCTGAGCAATGCTCTCAATGTACCACCCAATTAATTTGAAAGGTGGAATATTGAGTGAGGTGTATTACAATCATACGACATGATCCTCATCTGGGCTCCCCCTTTTCTCTGGGCTCCACTCAAACAACAACAAAAAAAACTGGCCCTAAAGTTCCACTGAAATGGGGTGTGTAATAAGGGCAGTGGTGGTGCAGTGGTAATGTCACTGAGCTAGTAACCCAGAGGCCCAGAGTAATGTTCTGGGGACGTCGGTTCAAACCCCACCAGAGCTGGAGGAAATTAAATTTAATTAATAAATGTGGAAAATCAGGTGGTGTCAGTAAAGCTTACCATCATTGATTGTAAAAATATCCAGCTGAGCTGTTAATCCCTTTAGCAAAGGAGATTTCATGTGGTCTGGCCCACATGTGACTCCAGACACACTGCAATGTGATCACCTCTCAACCACCCTCTGAAACAAGCGAACTGTTGCTGCTATAATCTGAATTTGAGGGGTGCCCATTCCCATGGTGGTGAGAGATGTTTGGTGATACAGTGAGCCAATTTTGAGGTTCACCTTACTGGGGTCTGTGCTACAGACAGTCCGCTTCAGATCTGTGTGTTAATCGTATTAGATTGTGGGCAGTGGAGGAAAGGATGGGGGCGGGGGAGTACAGGGTGGTGAGGATTAGGGGTGGCTAAGATGGGCATGGATGCTGGTGTTGGCAAAGAGAGATGGGGTGAAGAAGCAGAGATGGGACTGGGGTTACCAGGAGCCCAAGTATTGCTCCTAGAGAAGAACAACGCATCTGCACTAGAATTTCACTGCTAGTTAAAGTGGAAACCACTGTGACAGAGTATCATTTAATTATGCACCACATTGTAGTTTGCTAGACACAGCAGAATTGAAATAATCCTGAGACATGATTTAGCCAGACAATTCTTTGTAACATCAGCACTGATACTTACTGGAGATTTCTATGTGAGTGCTACTTATGTTTTACATGTTAGAAATTGCCCATTGTTTGTTAATCTTTTGAACACTGGTGTCTAGTAGAGAGACCTTAGAACATCCAGTTTAATTGAAAGGAATATACAAAAGGTGGAAAACGTTTCCACTCCTGGCACAGAGCATCTCGAGCATCAACATATTCTGGAATATGGGGCAGTCATTAACTAACCTGAAGGCTGAGGAGACAGCACAACACCCTGGCTTGATGGCTCATCGTATCGTCTGATCAGAGCGAAGTCATCGGATCCGATCGTTGTGTGGGGAATTTTCAAACCAGCAATCCTGCAAGTACGTGGAATTTGTGAGCTGTGATGGAAATCCGGGAAGGAATCTTGCCTCCCTGATGACTTCAAAATGCTGTATGGATGAGCTGCTATTTGAACCACGTTTGAAAATCTTCAGGTCAAGTACAAGGCACATGTTGCAGAATTTCATGTTGCAAACAGACATTATCCTGTATAAAAACTTTGTTCCAGCCATCCCAGGGATTGCACTGTGAAAATCCTGGATGTAGACAATTATAGAACAGCTCACCATTAGGCAGAGATCTATGTGTTGTCAGTTCTCTCAAGATGCTTTACAGTAGCATTGACAGATTGAAATTGACACTGAGCCACATAAGGGTTCAGAAGGATAAGGGCCAAACGCTGGCAAATGGGACTAGATTAATTTAGGATATGTGGTCAGCGTGGACAAGTTGGACTGAAGGATCTGTTTCCATGTTGTACATCTCTATGAATCTGTATTAGAACAGGGGTATGGGTTTTAAGGATGACTGTAAGGGAGAAGAAAGTTGGAGAGATAGACAGATTTAGGGGAGGAAATTTCCAGAAGTTAGGATCTAGATGCTGAAGGCAGGGCAACGGGCAGAGGAGTGTAGACAGTTGAAGGAGATTTTGGAGAGATATGGGTCTAAAGGAGGTGGGGAGAGGGTGAGGAGGCCATGGAGGGATTTTCAGGATAAGAATTTTAAATTTGAGGCAGTTCAGGGCAGGGAACCCATGCAGGTGAGGTAGCTCAGGGGTGATGGGTGAGTGGGACTCCTGGGATTGGGCACTTTGTGCTCCCTGCAATTGCTAGATCGTGGAATTGTGCCTATCTCTGCAAAGCAAGGTCTTCCAAACTATGATTATACTTGAAATGTAATGACTACTGAATCACTTCAATCATTTACTGAGATACCAAAACTTGATTATTTTGTATTAAGTTTATTTTGTAGTAATTTTTTTGGGAGAGGGAGAGGAGGAGCGAGGGATGTAACATGTATGAACTTTTCCTCTGTATCTCTTTTCATTGTAACCTCGTCCATCCCCTTCAACCATGGGATAGACTTTCTGTGTATATTTGTAAACTCTTCCTATGCACCTTGAGCCACTTAAATCACTAATGATCTCAACAGGGCTTTTGATTGCCTTGTAAGAGAAATGTAAAAAACATTCTAACTGTAGTTTGACATGTTTGAACAAGAGAAACAATGAAACTTTTTGCTGAGTATGTGAAAATTGCAGCATTATGAAGTATCGGATTAATATAAGGTTATACAAATCTACATTGTCAGTGCTAGTCTGATGATTTGTTCTTAAATCATACGGGCAGAAAAATATTGGGGAAATTTCACATTATTTTCAGAAGCAAGGACAATAAAGCAATTTTATGCACTACTTTTCTTCGTGTGTCCGTGTCAATTTATTATTAAAAAGGTGTAAAGACAGGGTTTGTAAGGGTGTGTATCTCTACCAGAGAGTTAGCACTGTCACAATGATCTTCTCATCCCATAAAGTGCATTAGCGACAGACCATCATACAGAGGTGGCTCAGGACCAGAGGAGTGATGACTAGACGAGACTGGTTAGTTCATGCAAGATCTGCTCACTCACCACTGCAATAGAATGCTGACTGTTAAGTCGCCCTCACCT